AAGGCCATCTTGAGATTTGTTCTGCTTCATTGGATTATTGGAGAGATAATGTCCATTTTAGTGACCACATGCCTAAGGTTATAGAAAAACACAGCAGACCTGGTATTGGGTTTGAAGCTGACTGCATAATAAGCAATAGTAGCCACAGGCCATTTTTCTGAGTTAGGTAATGTTTTGTTTGCCCAGTAGCTTGTGCTGAAGTTCTTTATCAAGGTTTTATAAAAACCTGTTGGGTTTTGGAAGTATCATCAGTATGCCAAAAGTCTTCAGTTGATACAGGAGTGGAGCCATTGGTCAGTATTTGTATAGTGACCATTACCTGGACAGGTGTCCCTCAGTTGGTCAAGCTTTCCCTTATACCTACATGCCTGGTACTGACCAACCATAGCTTGTTTGGTCAGCTGAAAACTCAACAGTGACATTTTGTTGAAACAGTGCAGTGTATTTTTTTATTCCGTTACAACTCAGAAATCAAAGAAGTGCCACAACTTGGATTTATTTTTGTGAATGGAATTTATTTGAACACTTTGGATTTTACACCCTTAGACACCTAGATGTGTGATGGAAGTTAACAAGAAAAAAGTAATGATGGTTCTGCCACAGAGTAGAATGAAGCCTGATTTACATCACATCTCATCATTTACAGAAATTTTATCTCCATACTCGGACATAATGTCTCCTTGTCCAGGATACCATGCGCCAGTGCTTCCACAAACTCCAACTGGAAGCATCCTTTGTGAGTTGATTACTTAAAATACACAGGAATAAGAGATATTGTTAAAACAATAATCTGCCAATTTTATCTGTATGTAGATTATACTTCTGTGTAAATATGAAAAATCAACAGTACACAGTCATTTATCAGTCTTAGAATTGAAACTAAAAAAAGTTTTCATTGATCTAAAGCATTTTTTTTTTCATTTGTCTATATTTATTATGTCAATAATACATAACAAATTCCTCATGTTGAAGGTGTTGGTAATTCAGACTTTTTATCAAGGTTTAAACTAGAAGGATTTTTTATTTGGGTGGGAGGGATATAACAAGTTTCTTCCACTGTTCATAATAAAAGGTAACAATCAGATTCAGGCAATTACGATGTACTTAAGGGTCACAGGCAAATGTTGTGAATAATTTATTACAATTATGAATATTATATAAGGACTAAGGTAGTGGCATTCATGATGAATTTTGTAAAAGATAGTGGCATTCATAGTGAATTTTGTATAAGGCAGTGGCATTCATAGTCAATATTGTAGAAGGTTGTGGCATTCATAATGAATTTTGCAAAAGGTAGTAGCATTCATAGTCAATTTTGAATAAGGTATCCTAGTCGTTTTCATTTAGCAGTACTAACCTTCTCACAATAGAATCAGTAATGTAGATTATTACAATGATATTAAAATATTTCAATACAATTGTATTTATTTGTTGTATACTACAGTATATGAAGAAAAAAATAATGATTATTTATCATTACATGCCTATTAAAGTATTGTCTAGATGAATAGTTGATAATAACAGAATTATCAGATTGAAATTAGATCTTTCCTATATAAAATTGCAAATCTAGATTTGCAAATTTATAATAGATTACTAACTTTTAGAGAGATTAAGAGAATTTATTGTCAATATTCCATTCTTCAGTAATCTGTTTTCCATTAGTGCCATTTAAGTTTTGTGCCAGACAGGATATTGGTGCTTGTAAAAGCTTGGACACTTTGAATATGTCACTCCCCTAGTCTTCCTTACAAAAATTAATGAAGACCAACAATAATTGCATAAGCTATTGGAAAAGGTGAATGTGACATATCATCTGTTTGTGTCTGACTGGTGATTTTGTTTACTCATGTAGCCAAGAGCCAGTTTTTCCTGGTCTGGGGGGCTTATAATGGCCAATGGTCAGACACTGGTCATTTATCAGCCTGACAAGGACATGTTACATGATAACTGACCATGGCAGGGATTATTCATGGTCAATGAATCCGCTTGGCCAAGGCCATGATGAATAATGGGGATTGAAAAATTGGTGTGAAATCCTGGAAAATCTACACTAAATGGCTCTAATCTTGACCAAATGAATAAGAAATAAGAAAGGACTTTTTCCATGGGCCTGCAAGCTATGCTATATCTTAAATCCATGCTTTTTATACATTTTTTTAACAAGGAATGGAAAAGAGGGGGAATATAAGTTTGTAAAAAATAAAATGAATAAATAATGGTTATAAAACTATAAATCACTAACTGATAACATATATATATATATATATTTTCTTGTTCTTATGAAATATCTATTTGATAATTTTATGACTTTGGAAGTAAAGAAAAAAAACATGGTGTTGTCCTTTTCCACGTCTTTTTTTAAGTGGAAATGAAAAAAAAATTGATCATACCTTGAAAATCATTCTACATTTGATAATTCATCTGATTATAAATATTTCATAGTGTAAATGGTTGTTAGCAATTTTACAGGACATTTGCCAAAGGTACATAAAATCTTACAGACTGACTTAAAGTGAGAAGAGTTATTGATCATTAGGGCTGAAGTCTAGATATATTATTAATGATCCCACTCAGTTAGATGTACCACAGAAAGTTATTGATATAAATTGCACCATCTGTTGAATCAAAGGACTCCTAGCTTCCAGCTGTCAGAAATAGACTTAGCATGTTCAGTGAACAAAATCCTCCATTCTCTATAGTATTAGATACAGTTGAAGTCCGACGGCACTCTGGGGTAGACAGGTGTCCATTATGTACCCTTATTCATACAGAGTTCTGGCTTTCATCATCAGCTGAACCAATTATTATACAAGTGTTGATTTTCATTAGCTCTCATTTGCTGTACACAAAAGATTTCTTCACTTGACAAATCAATAATTATAGATTTTATTTGGCTGGCTTCGAACACACAGAGTTTTGGATAGCTCCTCAGTGTGTCTATTGTAGTTTGTTACTCTTCAGCTGGGAAGGATGGATTTAGCATTAGTTTATTCTAGTTTCCTATTGTCACCAATAACAGGTATGTATTTAACCTTGGGATAGAGTTGCAGATGATGGATAAGTTTGAGACAGTTTTCCAAATACAAAAAAATGAGATTTTATTTTTCTTTATGTTTTTATAGCCAGACAAATATCTGTGTATATTCAGGAGTATAAACACGCCATGGCTACGGTACATCCCTGGTATATTTTAGTGTCTTACTCAGTAAAGAAAAATGTTTGAGGCTATTTTGTCTTAGTAATAAGTAGAAAATCATTTTACTGAAATTATTGACTCTGGGAATGGAAAAATCCCCACCACAAATCAGTCCCATGTTTGTTTTAAATACAAATGTTAATTGGCATATGGTTTTTCAGGAATAAGTTTTTAATTCAGATTTTGAATAGATTAAATATATTTGTGTTTCCCACGACATGACAAGATAATTAAATAAGAGTCAAGCTCACAGGATTAAATATCAAACATTGGTCAGTGATGTAACCCTATACCCTGGTCAGGCTAACCATGAAATTAGTATGTTCCCTTTTAATAGTGTTTGTCTGTGTTGGTCTAGATGTCCCTAAGTAGATAAGGCACACTGGTGTAAAGTTCTGACCACTGTAAAACATGCTGGTATCCTCAGGGCCATCTGCAGTGGTCAAGTGTTTGCCCCTGTAATTTTCTACAGTGAGAGAGCTGGGCATCAAAGAGTTCATCCTATCTTGTGCATACATCTACTGGTTTAACCTGTGTAATTATGTTAAGTCCTCCAGAATAGGGAGATATGGACCTTGATTGAGTTCTAACCCTGTGGTCATCTCTATTGTCCAGCTGGTCAGTTCTGGTGTTGAACTGGGAATAAAACTGGTCTATCGAAATCTGGTATGATGAACAGGTTATCAATATATTTTCAGTTGTTTGTGTGAATGTAACTTGCAGTTATACCAGTTTTTTATAACAATTTCTATAGGAAAATAACAAAAAGATATAATGTCATAGCTGTTTAGACATAAATTGTATTTCAGAGAAAGTATGAATATGAAATAATAGTTTTAAAAAATTAAAAAAAAAAAAATTTGTTCCAGTAAAAAAAATCATTGATACCAACCACTATATTTATAATACCTCATATTTTATGATAAATCCAGTAATTCTTTTTTTTTTTTTTTTTTACTTTTCCAACTTTTAAGAAACTAAATTCATGTTTCAATCAGCCTATTATAAGCTGGTGATTAAGTAATGGTACATCACATGTCCATGCTACATATAACACTGTTAAGACAGGGTCTTATCTGTTGTACATTATCACTGCCTTCATTAACACTATTAATATATCCTCCCAGTGTCAAGCCAACACCATTACATCACACACCCCTGATCTTTACTAGAGCCATATCTTATCACAGAGGCCTGTATCAATCTTTACATTGTCAGATGGGGTGACGATAGGAAATCTATTGCCCATGATTAGAAGACGACCAGAAATATCTTATCACCTTTGTTAAAGTGATCTGGACATTTATATTGACTCAGTGTTCTGACGATAGCTATGGATTCTGTTGGCTGAAAAACTGGGAGAATTTTAAATGATGTGCAAGTAGTTTTCATGAAATGGTCATTTTACTTGCACCTCTGCAAACTCTCTAATAATTCAATTATAGACATATCTTACATATTTGTAGTTTCCTTTTATTTCTGAAAATGGAATTCGTATTAACATAATTGTATTTCACCTTATAGTTACACCATTTATTTGTTTTATTTTTTTATGAAATTGAAGACAGTATCAAATTATCTGTCATACAAAAGTATATATATATATTTGATAAATAAATATATATGGGTATCTAATCTTGAATACCCAATGTGTGACGATTTAAACCAAGGAGATAAATAGTCCATTTTGATTGAAATTTTTATTTTATTTTCACATTGCCGGTAGAAAAAATTAATGGAAAAGTAAAATAAAATTCATTGACAGGTTTGTTTATGTTTGATTGCTTTTGTATGTTCACAGCTTATGACATGTCAACTCCAATTGTCCGCCGTCGTCAGTCTGAGGCTGAGAAGAATGTCAACCGTCTCCGTAACTGTATGCCGGAGAAGTTCTCTACACTAGTAAAGATGCATCTGTCATTTCTGCTAGATCTAGATGGCACCAAACTTGAAGAAATGTTCCTGGACACATCAGAAAAACATGAGAACTCTAAACGTAAACCTTCAACGCCATTTTCAAAGAAAAAAGGTATATATATTTATATGTTTAAGTGAACATATATCGAAATTTTGATTAAGGACATTTTGGATTCAAATTTCTTTTTTTTTTTTTTTTTTGGATATTGAAGAAAAAAGAAATCAGTTTCGATATTTTTGCTATATTTTCATATCTGTATCTAACAAATGTTTTTATGAAGGAAAATCTTGTTTTTTTTTCTAATGGATTCTTTTTTTTTTTTTTTTTTCAATTCAGAAAAGCAACAACCTCAACAGAATTTGTTTGGTGCAGCCCTTACCCAGGACAATGTATCACAAATATACCAACTCATCGACTTCTTAGGCAGACCAGACAGTAAGTATATAGTTGAAATATTCAAATTATATATTAGACAAAGTATTTATGTGAAAAGTTAGTGAAAAAATGTTTGAATTTCAGGTAATGTTTGATCAGAGAATATATCATATACATTTCAACTAATAATTGCCATGTTTAAAGTTTGTTTAAATTTCATATCAAAATTTTGAAATATAGATAACTTATTTCATTGTTTCTGATTTTACTTCAGAATCTTTTTTCAGAATGTTTCCTTACTATTAATATCTAAATGCAGTTCAATAGAAAAGAAATTTATTTTGTATTTTCAGATATCAGAACTGAAGGACTTTTTAGGAAGACAGGAAATTTTGCTCGTCAAAGACTGTTGAAGGAGTGGTTAATCAATGGAACTGATCTTGGTTTGGATCATGGAACATTCTCACCACATGACTGTGCCACAGTTCTGAAGAACTTCCTTGGAGAGCTGCCTGAACCTCTTCTCACAGAAAAGCACTACCAGGCACATCTTCAAGTAACTAGTAAGTAAACAATCTAAATTAGGAAAATATAATACCATATCTTACTTTGGCATTGTCATTTTGGACTACTAGGTACCAAAATTCTAATGGAAATGGTACATTGAAATAGTACTCTGTTCATATATATAGTATATGCTTCAAGTGTAGCAATAACTTAGCAGTATTGTTATTCATATATATTAAATACTTAAAGCTTTAAAAGCAGTTCATTACTGATGTAGACTCCTTACAAAAACATTTTTCAATCTGCATTTTATATTGACTTCCTTTCTAAGAAAAAATATCATTGAAATAACTGATATGTTTCTGCAGACATGGGCAAGTCTCCAGTGCTAGAGAAAGAGAAACTGCGAGCCCGCAGTAAACAGATTAAGACATTACAACTGCTGTTCTTGCTTCTGCCACGTAACAATGTGCTGCTTCTGGAGTGTCTCATTGATCTGCTACATCGTGTAACAAAAGTGTCAGAGAATATGATGACTGCGTCTTCTCTAGGCACCGTGTTTGCTCCCCATCTTCTCTGTCCAAGAAAGGTAGGTCCTATTTCTAAATACTCTGCGTCAAGCTACTGCTTATCATTAATTCTTTATTATGATGAAGTGATAAAAAAGGGAAAAAAATTAGATGTAGAAATTATATACTGTAGAAAGAAATATTACAATGATGTTTATTTATTCAAATTTACTGAAGCAAAACACTAGAGAACAGACTCTGATGTCCAGGAAAAATGTAGTCATATCATAGCATTATGACAAAATATGACATGTATCCATCAATAAGGCCATGTCTGGTAAAAAGCCTGCATATATATCATATTTCTTGCTGTTGAACATCATAATAAACAAATACTATTTAATTGTCCTGTAGTAAGCCACCCCCTGTCTGAGTAAGATTTATGTTGGGTTAGTCACCTGAGCTTATTATGGGAAAATACAGTACATTACATTATACTTTTAAAAAACATCTTTGCAATATAATGCAATTTTGCAATATTTGAATAATTTGTAAACTTCTGTTTTTCCATGAACAGATGTCTCCAGAGGAACTGCAAGTTATCTCCCCTGTCATCACGCAGGCCGCTTCCTTTATGATTGAGTGTGGCACACAGATATTCAAAGTTCCAAGAGAGCTTGCAGCCGACATTGCCAACTTCTGGCGGGAAATGGAGGACCCCAACAAACTTATCTTTGACCCAGTTGAAGAACAAGAGAACACTCACAATAACCTGGCCAGTGCTAAAAAGAAGTATGGCAGTACTCAAGCTATCAACACTGTCATTGCCTTTGCAGACAGGAAGTCATCTAGCGACTCTGACAGCAATCAGGACACACAGGTGGCACTAGCCCAGCTCTATGCACATGTACAGAGCATGCCCGATTCCTCCAAGAAAAAGAAACTTCTTAAGCAGGTAAGACACAAGAAAACAATTTCACTTTATCTTGAGAGATATTAATCTTCAGATAAAACTGATGTGATGCAGATATTGTTAATGTATCATTATCAAAAAGATGAGGTGAAAAGGCAATGAATTTTCATCAATTTGAATCTGCTGATGTCAGTTTTAAAGTTTTGATCTTCTTTTAATGAAAAGATGATTAATTGTATTGGCTTTGTTCAAAATAAGTTGATGAAATGATGGATAATCAGTTTGAATTGAGGTAAAAAAAAAATGGATTTTGATGTAGAAACATGCTGTGTTTTTTCTTTCCTTTTTTTATTTATATGATGACTTGTTCGTATTTTACAGTTTAATCGTGCCTCTCAACAACCCACCAACACACAATCTGCATCCAAGCCAAAACACACAAGGAGTCGTACATTTGGATCACAGATAAAGAAGCATTTCCCCAGTTTCAACCGACATAAGCGACAGGGATCAAGTGAGACCACAACCTTGACCTCTGACCTTCCATGGTCCATGACCTCTACTATCAACATAGACAAAATGGATGATAGTGTCTTTGGCACGCCATGTCAGAAAACTAGAAAATCGGTAATTACTTTTATAATGTTTGAGAACTAATTGCTTAAATGTGGTATGTGGAAAGTCATTTACTTGCTGTACATATATAAGGTATCAATTTTGACACAAATGCAAGACAGGACCATTTAGATTAATTCAGATCAAAAGGAAATGAGTTAAGTACAAAATTATCAATATTCTTTTTCTTTAATTCAGTTAAATAATGGAAGTCCTGCGGTACATATTGTTGATATGAAGAAATCTCCCGAACCTCATCGCCGACCCAGAAAGAGGCTAAGTAGTGAAGGAAGTGATGGCAGTATCCCAGATAAACGGCCGACCCCTGACATGTTACCGTCGACAGAAAACGAGATTGATTACATTGTGAAAAAACACCCAGAGAGAAGAATGTGCCCCTGCACCACACCTGATCGTGTTGGTAAACCTATTGCCATGGTATCTCCAATCACACACTCCCCGATTTCACAATCCGTCAAAAAGGTTCCTCCAATGATGCAGGTAACAAACTGTTTATGCTTCAAAACTAAGATAAGTTGTCAATAACACAGTTTTGAAAATACGATTGAAACTACTAGACATTTTATATATAGATAATACACAAGTATGTGCCTCAATTTTGCATTATCAAATTTTAGTACATTATCACTTTTTTGGCAAATAAGCACATCCATAATGATAGCTATATGATCTGCATCAAGAAACTGCATTGAGCACAGTCATATTTTAGCACAATACACAATGTTAAAAGTGCTAAAATAAGCATTACCTTACATCTACTATTTTTCACAAATGGTAAATTTTTTAAAAGTGATAGAGAAAACGTTACTGGGTATAGTTTTAGGGCTGAGATTTTGTATGAAAATAATGTTTCAATGTTAACTTGAAATTAATACTCATAAATTTCCATTTCAGAAAAATGCCATGACACCAAGATCAAGAGCACCTTTGTTATTGTTGCATTCACCAAATCTTGCCTCACGGGAAAGTCTGCTATGAGAAAGAACCTTCCCTTGATTTCATCTATGGATTGACATTTCTTTTGATCTGAACTGGTCTAATGCCTCCCTAAGGGATGACAACTTAAGTTACTGCATCAGTGCTATAAGGGTACACACACCTGTCCAGTCAAGAGAGTTAACTCCGAAGACAAGCAATGAAATAGTGCTGATATGGTTGGAATTGACATTGAGTTAAAGTGCTGTTTGCGATATTATGTAATTATGTATTCATAATGATTTATGATTTGTAAATCGAGCTGTACAAAAGAACTTTGTTTGTAAATACACAGAAGTATAGAAAATGACGCCTAGCGTATAAACATATCACAAGAAATATAAAGCTATATATAGATTTTGTATACTTTGCTGGGTAATTTCTGCAGTAAATATTTCCAAAACAATGTAACAGAACAAATTTTTAAATGTCTGTAAAAATAACCAAGAAAATCCACAGCTTAAAGAAATTTTTAAAGTATTGTTTAAAGGAAATAAAAAGATGTAAATATATCTGCTATATCTAGAATGTTATCTGGTAAGGAAAAAAAAACTGGAAATATTTACTGTGAAAATTATTCCATTTTGTTGTGATTTGCTTCTTGTGATATATAAGTAGATTTTTATATTGCTTATGCTTAAAGTAAATTGCTGTGGTTAAGTTATTTTGTTACTGAAAACAAGTCTCATCAAAATGCATTTCTTGAACTGCTTATGTCAGACACCAAGAAGTTTTGTATATTATCATTTTCCAAGTTGGGAAATAGTTTTTTTCTTCATACATGAAACAGATATGGTGAACTAAGACCTATAGATGGATTGAAATAGGATTTTATTTCAGGTGTCAAAAATACTTCTTGTATAATTGGACACTTGCAGCAAATTACTGCTGTCCAATCATCACATTAATTAGTGCTGTTTAACAGTGTTGATAACTATATGATACAACTATGGAAGTGTCTTACTGCCATTTAATCGGGATTGTCATTATAGCTCTCATATACACACCAGACTTTTCATTTTGTTTGTATGAAAAACACAAGATAGGACAATATGAATTCTTGTCATTGTTCCAAATCTCAATTTTTTTAAACATATATAGTATAATTTTTCATCACTCAACTTTAATCTTGTCTTTAAACTTTGATCATGACAAGTTTATTGGAGTCTAGGTCACAGTAATTATAATATATACTACTACATATATTTATACCCTGTATGATAGTAATACATAAATGTATTGTCACCAAATTCTTAACCAAGTATTTACTCAATAGTCTAGGAAAAAGTGAAAAAAAAAGTATTAGTATTTAATTTTTTTTTATATCAGATGCAGGGTTTATGTTTAATTGATAGGAAAAAAGATCTTATTTGTTTAATTTTCTCTTTAAAACAAAATTTGAATTTGAATTTCATATCTTTCTGAATTTGATAGTTATTAATATTCTGATTCACTCTGCCAAAAAAAGGTAAGACGTTGAGAAAATATTTGTATACATATATACTAAAAGCATGTAAAGATGTATCTCTCAACAATAGATTCAGCATTAGTTTAACACTGCACATAACAAATACTCATGGTCTAGTCAAAGCTCAAAATAGAGACATGTATTTCACTTTCTTTTCTTCTTTCTTTATTCTTTATTATTCCTTCTTCTTACTATCTACTCCAAATTCAATTGTCATTTTTTTTATTTTTTTTTGTACTTACCAATACAGAATGTATTAAAAATGCTAAAATTGATTTTGTGTTTTTGTGTGCTTTTTCATTATGATACTGATGGTATAATAGGAAATCATTTTGCTAATTCAAATTAGTACAAGTAGCTCCCCCTACTGGGAAGGGTATTGTTGATTTGGGATAATAGAGCAATTCCTTTTGAGGAATATTCCAGAAAAAACAACTTGACTCCAGGACTCCAAAATTAATCATTTCTATTCCCTTTTCAGTTTCTTGTCCATTACTTGTAACCAGATTAACTAAACCTGAAGGTCTGTGGTGGGATAGGTGTTTGACTAGCTTAGCTCTAACTGTGGAACTTTTGTTTGCCAAATTCAAATATAATTTTCATTGGGATGTCAGTACAAAAACAATTCACAAATACCTTGTTCATGTCCATGTATTTTTGGATGTTAATCATTCTACTTGAGAGTTGTAAGCTTGAAGCAGTTGCCTCCCCTTATATTTAAATGTTATAGTGCATTCTTGCTATTGACCAGTTTAGTTTTCGACCTAACCATGAAGTTGTCCAATAATAAGAACATCATTGTTAGATTCCAGAGGCAACCATATTTCATAATATACACATATATGCAAAAAGGAACATTAAGCAATAGTATCAAGAAATATGATTGCATGATTTCATGTAAAATATAAATCTCATAATGTAAAAATTCTGTACTCTGACCTTGATATCAACAGGCAAGTGAATGTCTACTAGAACGACAGTGGCACAGAGACATATAAATTAAATTTAGCTTCCATCTTATTACAATTACCTAGATCAAATACTAAATGTAATACAGATTTTTTATTGATATTGCATTGATAGACAACCAACCATGGATTAAGATCCTAGGTAAATGTTCAACCCCTACATGTGGAAGTCTGTCATTCTCGGGTAGCTATCAAATCACTGTCTTTGTTGTACTTGGAAAAGGCATTTCACTCACATTATTTGTGATAACAAAGGACGGTCCTCCCGCATGATGTTCACTGAGGCGACTTACATGTACTACAAGAAGACGCCTTTTAACACCAAGGATGGTAAATCAAGCCAACAATAAATATGACATCGGCCTTTGTATTTCCTTACACCAATATCGGAATTGCTTGGGCAAGGTTCGATGAAATTTAATTGAAAACTTGTCATTGAACCTCGATAAGAGATATTTCATATGATCATGACCTTGATCGTTGATACGTCTTCTAATCCGTAGTTGTAATGTTTCCCAAAATTTGGTACAGAAACCAGCCAGAACCCCATGAGATTTCCTTTTTTACCGATCATTACGACAAGGGTTTGAAGAAATATAACTATCGCTGTCAACAGCATGGGTGTGAAAGCACTGTGAATTTGGTTTATTTGAAAAGATAATCTTCGTCGTTATGACAAGCTTCGGCTTTGTTGAACAGAAAGTTGCCGTCGCAACGCTCCACTGTTCAGAAGCATTTCGTGAAGAAATTAGAATCTGATGCAATATGGGTTGAGCAGGGAACGTAACGGACACTAATGGGACACACTATTTGCCTCTCCAGGTCTGCATCCCGCCAAGAAAACGGCGATGGCATAAAAATGGTTTGTCGACTGACATATGCAAAAATGAAAATTAACCTTATTTTACATCCCCTACAAGTTTAACAATCAATATAATATAATGTCGACACCGTAGTAAGGGGACAGACGTTTGAGGAAAACCAACTGGGGGAAATCAACGTGCCGCCCTTCATCCCCTGCCGTCTGTGGGTCTGGAAACCCGTGTTCTAGGGGAAAGTGATCTGAACATTTCGTGTTATTGCACACATCATGACAGTCATACTGGCACTGAGGTGTAGATGAATTTTGTTATGCCATAGACTGGCTGACGGAATATTCTTAACAACATAAGCCAATTGTTTGTTAAAAAATCAACTTTAATCGCTTCATTTTGAAAAGGTTACAAGTATTTGTTATTAAAAAGTGTTCATAAAAACAGTAAGTATGAAATATAAAGATTTACAAAATATCGCGATAAAGTGTCTTTTCACACCTATTTTCCTAAACATTTTTCAATGTAAAATCTTCCGAAACTATAGACGATATAAATAAAAAGTATTGTTTTAGTATAACAAAATTATCCGGGCAAACTTATATAGTGATCTGTCACATACCCCCATCCCAACTCTCCGTCCGGTAGGAGGGAAGGTATATTTTTAGTACGTAAGATCGGGACAATGCTTGAGAAATAAAGAAGAAAATCCCGGTGGATAATTAAACAGCATTACTACTACAAAATTAAACTTTGCCACCTCCCACGTCCAAATGTACTAGTTATATTTGATTTTGCCTTTGGGTCTACATAGCTGCCAATTAAAACGACCATTTGACTGGTACACCTGTGTTCGCGTTCAAACCATCGTTTAATCCACGTCATCATAAGACGATTTCATTGTATTTAAAGTTTAACTGCAATCATTATGTATATCCCAGTTTTTTCCTTGTTCAAACTTTCTCGTTCATTGATTCGCTCCTTGTTCACTATCTCTCCCTCAGTTCACTTTATAATTCCCTCCTCGTTCACGTGTCCGTAGCCACGTCCGAATCTTTCCCGATGGTACAATGTGCTACCGAAATATGTCTCTGCGTTTCCTGTAGCGATAAACACTCTTGATTCATCGCATCGATGACAATATCATCAGTCACACCATCGATCTCATCGCCTTTCGTCTGCCTCAACGTCAGTTGAAGACATCTACGTTTAGGGACCAAATGACCTACATGTTCATAGTGACGTTTATGACTGCTATCTCTGCTCATGACGTCACCGTATCTGTTGTCGGCGCCTTCAAATCCGATATTTCGAATTCGCTTGATACAAGCGGCTGTCTTGGAAGGACTGGTCACTTTTCTTTTGTGATTTTGCACGTGGTCAATAAAGTGGACTTGGCCCTCAACAGCAGAAGTGATGCAACTGCAGTCACTTTGGCGATCTCCCAAGTTGGTTATAGGTGGACATCTTGATAATCCGTTTTCTGTAGGTGTACTGTAATAACATTGGACGAACCGGTATTGATTCCAAAATAGTAGTAATCATAGTAATAAAACGGATGTTGCGACATAACAAAAACCCCGCAACAATCTAGCAAATTATACAGCTGTATATGTCACTGCCCAAATGAATGTGAAAGTATATGTCAAGAATGCACAGATGTTGAATTCGAACTAATTCTAGACAAGGAATGTTTGAGGTTAGAACAGCTAGAACTGACATCGTAAGGATAACTTACACACACACACACACACACACACACCACCACCACCACCACCAACACCACCATACACACACACACACACCACATACATACACACCACCAACACACACACACGCACCACACACACACACACCATCACCACCATTAAAATTTAGAGATCTTATCACTTGTACTGCGCAATGATATGTTATGGTTACGGTATACATGTACGATATATATACGATATATTAATCATTAAGTAATAACATGTATACAAACTTATTATATCATAACTTATGTTGCATGTACATAGTATACAATGTATGTATTCATACTTACTATCTGGCTGAACAACTTTATTTAACTTTGTTGCTTTGTAAATATGTTTTCTCTGTACTGTACGGTTAAAGAGAAATAAATAAATTAAAAAAAAAAAAAAACACCATACATACATACACACGCATGCCATTCCTTTTTCGTGCCCCATTCCTTGCCATATTCAGTGTATTATAAATATCTGCCAATTTTGTGACTCCCTTATGCCCTATCCTATTATTTCC